CACACACACACACACACGCACAAAATCCACACACACTTAAAAAAAACCACACACATACACTCACAAAACCCTCATGCACGCAAACACAGTCACGCACACGCGCAGGTGGGTGGAGGGCGCCACTGATAGGTCCTATTTCTCAACTTTCCTCTTTTGTTTCTATCGCTTTGTCTTGCATTTTGCCAGCATTAGATGGCCGTTATTTTGTCGATGTGCTTTCAAACTCGCACATGTCCACAACGAGACCACGCATATCCGTACTCCCAGGCGCACGCACACACAAAACACTCATACTTGCAGACACTCATGCAGACACGTGCGCACACGCACGCGCACACGCACACACACACACGCACACACACACACACAATCAAACAAACACAAACACACATGTGCGCATAAAGACAGTGACTTTTGTACTCTTGCATCAGATTTTCGCACAAATGTAAATACCGGATGTTAAATGCCATGCCCGTGTACCGTTCCGTAATTCTCTCTCTCTCTCTCTCTCTCTCTCTCTCTCTCTCTCTCTCTCTCTCTCTCTCTCTCTCTCTCTCTCTCTCTCTCTCTCTGCCTCTCACACACATACACACACACACAAACGCACGCACTCTTTTTTCTGGACCCTGCTCGTCCACGCTCTTCTTTATCTACCCGCCCCGCCCTTTCGTTCCCCCTTTCTCCCTCTCATGTTGTTTTTGTTTTGTTTTGCTTTGTTTTATTTTGTTTTATTTTTGTTTCTTTGTCGTTCTTTGTCTGTTAGGCTAGCTAATGGCTTTGCTTTTGTTAGTTTGTAATTGGAGGGCGTCACTCATGGGTCCTAGTTCATTTCTTTCCCTCTGTTCTTTTAGTCTTGCTTTTCCCCTGCTCTGAAAGGCCCATATCATGACAGTGTGTTTTATGTTATTGCTATATGTAGAGGGACTAAAGGAGTTGCTGTTGTTGGTGTTTTTCTGCAGATGTTGTGTTTCGTTATATTGCCATGTTGTTTCTGCTAACGTTGTTCTTCTTTGTGTTGCTATCGTTTCCGCTGATGTTGTTTCTCATAACGTTTCAGCTGTTGCAGTTCTTTCTCGAAATGCTACTTATATTATGTTGCTGTTGCACTGCTGAAAGTTATCGCCCAAATGTGTGTCTGCTGGTTTGTAGCGAATTACTTGCCTGTCTGTTTGCTGACCACTGCAGTGGTTCACCC